TTGTAGAGTACATCCCGGTTTTTCTAAAAAAAATATAATAATAGTGATTCTATAGAGGGAATCAAAAGCTATGCTCCGTTGAAATTGCACGCCAAAATCTGGCTGAAAATCATCCTCTTTTCTTGGATCGCCCGAGCTTCGCACGATCCGAATTTTTCCCAAAAGACATCAACGACGCATCACATCATTCTTCAAAGGCAGTGGAAGGTACTGACTCCAGAGCCCAGTCATTCCCGTGGGTAGTAGAACTGGTGGAACCTTTTCGTAGTTGTCGAAGGTACTGACTCCAGAGCCCAGTCATTCCCGTGGGTAGTAGAACTGGTGGAACCTTTTCGTAGTTGTCCTCGTTGATGATGAAAGGATGATGACTTGTGGTGTGAGAAGAGGAGAATGGAACCTTTTCGTAGTTGTCCTCGTTGATGATGAAAGGATGATGACTTGTGGTGTGAGAAGAGGAGAAGCCAGGTATGACCAAAGAGAAGAGGAACTCTGCTATGGTTTTCTGTGGGAGGTTATAGGAGCCTCTTTGCTTGCTTTGGCTCACTTTCATTCAACGGAATGAAATCTTCCGTGACGAGGGGCGTTTTGTTAGCTTGAGATTGTGAACTTTTATATAGTAGTGTAATAGTGGGAGAAGGGAGTTATAATGGCGTGGAAGTTAGAAGGATGAGAGGTTCAATTAGATGACATTAAATTGAGGTAATAGTGTAATTAAAGATTAATGAGGAATGGAGAAGTAGAAAATCGTTATGAGCAAGTGAAGACCAAGAGGTTACTGATGTGATCATAAGTTTGGTGACTTATCATAATACCATCATCATGTTTTTTGCATATTTAATTATATTATACAATTTAAATGAGAACTAAATATAATCATGATGAATTAAAGTTTGGTATTAATATTGGGTAGATGAGGACAACTTTGTTATTTTTACAATAGTTGAAGGATAATTTAGGGTATGAAAAGTTTTTTTGGTACTCCCTCTTTTAAAGGGTAGATGATATATATATATATATATATATATATATATATACTATATTATATATATATATATATATATTATATATATATAAGATAATATCATATATGAGAATTAATGCGTTATCCTTGTATAGGAGGGATTTCTCCTTACCCCCTCATGTTGCACAATCTCACCATCCTCATAAAGCTTAAAAGAAGAGCGTGAGTTGGCTGGGATTTGTGCATATTTTATAAAGGATGGTGGGATATATGCCACATACGGGGGACCGACAAGGAAGGAAAATCCCCTCCTATACAAGTGATACCCCATTCAGATCTCTCTTTCTCTCTCTCTCTGTTATATATATATATATATATATATATATATATATATTATGTATATATATATATATATATATTAATATATATATATATATATATAGTATATAGTAGTATAGTGATATTAAAGAAATGGAGAAGTTGGCATTTCTTGCTCTCCGCTGACCTGAATAGGTGTATAACATGTGAACTCCCTAGCTATCACATAGATGTAGGGACTCACATGTCATACACCCGCAGTTCATGGCGGAAGAACGATTGTCTTAGCGTCTTCTGTATATATTATATTATTATAGTATTATATATTATATATAGCTATATATAATATATTATATTATAGTATATATATATGAGGAGAGAGAGCAGATGAGAGAGAGAGAGAGAGAGACACCTGAGTATCGCTCTTCTCTCCACCAAGTATAATTTTGTGCTTTGTAGTGAAGTGTCATATTCACATCCACTCATTTCAATTCCCAACCACTCCCCAACTCATATGAATATGGGCCCCGATTTTAATGAGTGGAGTAGAATATGACACCTTACTACTAAGCACAAAAACTTATGCTTGGTAGTGAGGTGGCGTGATCTCCTCCACTCATTCAAATGGTTGCATATCCTCATACACTCCTTAACCCATATGAATGTGATCCCTCATTTGAATGAATGGAGGGAATTGTGCCACCTCACTACCAAGCACAAAATTTGTGCTTGGTACCAAGCATACCCATATTTCTCATATAACAACTGGACATTATATTACTTGCAATAATGAACTTGATTATTTGATCTGCGTATATGTTATAGCCTTAAGGGATGTTGTTTGGACTTATACTTTGCTCTGAAGTGTGCTCCATAGGACTGGAAAATTTCATAACCATGATCAAGAATTTCCATTTTTCTTAGGTGTTGATGTTAAGTAACTAAACAGTCAAATATGTGATGAGTTGAGATTGATTTGGGGCCGCTCACTTTTCCAAATATCTGGTCATGAGTTTAGTAGCTTTAACCTACACAAATAGAAACTCGTGAGAGGACGGGGCTTGGTTCTCCCGTCATACCACCAACGATCAGGTCAGCTGGTGAACTTGAGTGAGAAAATAAAAAACTATGTGAGTTCTTTAATGTAGTACAATGTAATATGTAGATATTACTTATCAGTAAAAAGATCCAAGATCAAAAAGATCAAGATCCAAAAGAAGAAAAAGATCAGATTGGAAAAAAGATACCCTTTTTTAGGGCTGGGCATATTCGGTTCGGTTCGGTTTCATGCCCAATCCGCATCCAATCCGAATTTTTTGGATGCTCAAAACTCTCATCCAGATCCAGATTTTTTCTCATTCATCCGAATATTCGGCCCAACCGAAATTCGGTTCGGTTCGGTTCGGTTTCGATTTTGAATTTGCAAAGAGTTCTATCCAAAGACTTATGTTGTGAATTTGCAAGCTGGGCATTGTCCTCATGATGAGGTTCCTGAGCTCGCCAACAAAGCTTTATGGCATTGTCCTCATGATGAGGTTCCTGAGCTCGCCAACAAAGCTTTATTAGACTGGTTATCATCTTTAGAATAAAGTTTTGAGTTGATATAATTACGCAGAGAACTGATGTTTTAAAGATGTTATTCATATAATACATCATGCTTATCTCTTGTAAGTATCATGTACATAACACATTTTGTGATTGATTTGAATCTTATGTAATTCTCAAGATCTTTTCTGCGAATTTTTTTAACTAAAGTTTAAGTTTATTTAATTACACGGGGGAGTGATGTTTTGTATGATATTGTTCATATAATGTAGCATATGCATCTTTTGTAAGTGCATCATGTGCATAACAAATTTTCTGGATTGATTTGAATCTTTACTTAGTTCTCAAGGATATTTTTTCTGTGATATTGCTGTACTCATTGCTTGAAACTGCTCCTTGCGCCGTTTGAATCTATTGGATGATAACAGGAAAAGTTTTGAGGTATAAGTTTAGTCTCTAAACTGCCCAACAAAATTCGGGTCGGTTTTTTTTGGGCGGTTCAGGGGTTCAAACCGGATCCAAACCGATTTAATTCGGTTCGGGCGGTTTAGAGACTTCTTCTCATCCATTTAATTCGGTTTGGTTAACCGGTCCGTTTTTTCGGGCGGTTTTTTCGGTTGAACCGGTTTTTTCGGTTTTTGCCCACCCCTACCCTTTTTTGTAAAGAATGGTACCTCTATTTGTAGTGGTGATGAAAGGGTAGAGCAGTCACTTCGGCCGAGCACAAGAAGGTGGTAAGCAGGTATGGCTGGCGGCTGCTTCATCCCCTACTTTACACGTGCCGGTCGGTGAGTGAAGGAGAGATCACCTCAGCATTAAATGAGAAGTGATCGGATGCATGACGGTGCTGACGTGGTTCGATGAGTCATGAAAACTATCAGGGCTAGAGGAATGATGCGTCTGTTAAGCATTAAATATGACGCCGACATACTGTCAACGGGAGAGGCTCAAGACCGAAATCGTCCTTTAGCTTGGTCGAGAAGTAACGTTTTTCGAGTCGACTTCGTGATGCGTCGAATAGCTGGTCGAGTGAGCTCGTAGCGAGTCGTCTTCGACAAGAGGACCTACAAGTACCGCCATTCAAATCGATCTAAGGAGATGTCGATTCAGCGAGTCGGCTAAGTCGAGATCATTGGTGGTTTTGACCATCAATTTGACTTGAGTTGACGACTGAAAACACAATAGCATTAGGTATTTTCACTGCAAATCCGTTTGCATTTTTTTTATATTCCTGGCAATCTTTGTCGATATATTTCTCCACGTACGCACAAAACCTAGGTCGCAACATTATACCAAGTCCAGGCCATGTGCCTAAATCAGTTGACACCAACCCACAAACCCAAATACTTTGGATACGGGCCACTACTAGCGGGTATAGCATCCCCAACCAACCATCTGAAATAGCAGTTTTTAACCATGAGACAGATAGAGATAGAAGTTACCCCCTAAGAATAGGCATTGTAACAGAATAAACGGACAGAGTTGATGAATCAAAAATCACCTCATACTTCCAACGTTCCTGCGACAAAACCAACCAGCATCAATATAATTAGAATCCAAACAACAGGCGAAACTGAGGAAAGAGAAAGACCATAAACAATGTCTACCCAGCTACAGAGATCGGCTGTCTCCTTCAGGAGGCAGGGCTCCTCAGGTCGTATCTGGAATGATCCTTTGATAGGAGGAGCGGCATTATCTCGGCAATCTTCATGCATCACTCAACCCCGGCCATTATCTCGCCAGTCGTCATGCATCCCTCAACGCAACAATCTAAACCTGCATCAGGAGAACCAATTTACCTCCCATGAAGAAATTCCAGCGGCCCCTACGACGGCACAGCAAAAGTCACGGTGGTCTTGTGGCTTCTCGGCCATGTTTGGGCCGTGCATGAGATCTTCACCCTCTGTCACCCCAGCACGATAGTTTGATTCTTTAGCTGATCAAGTTCTAAGATGCGTACAAAGATCCATCATTTTCTTCTCCCTTTCATCTGTATTTGAACGTTGATGTTGCGAAAAGATGGAATAGAAATGTCTGGCTCATGGTATTGATTAATGAAATTATTTGTCCATGAATGTGCCAAGTGTTTGTGATTCTGAGAGGTTTTTCTCATAGTTTCAATTGTCCTTCTGATCAAAACATTAAAAGTAAAGCAGCAAGAGGACTACAGTGCAGGTATATATATATGTATATAACAATTGAGAAAAATGCATCATACAAAAACAGAGTATCTGTTTCCTAAGGAGAAAACACCAATTTATCAGGAAAAAACTTCTTCTATATGTTAAGTACAACATCTTTCAACCCTGATTAATTTGAACAAATCGAAAGGGAAATTTGCCCAGCTAAATGGATATTGGCCTGAGTGTAGATTGATACTTAACATTGATTAAATCTACTTGAATGGACAGTCACGCATCTCTATCATCTGAGAGCACTTTCTCTGCACCTCCATCGCTAAAACCATAATAGTAATCTAGATCTTGATTTTGTTACCTATCTCAAATCCTTCCTGCAATCCATTTTGGGTTCAACTGACCTCTTCGAGTTGAAATACCACATGGTTTTTTGCTATCATCCAAGGCAGAAATACCGCCCTGAAATAATCTTCCAATATGCCACATAAGGTCCTTTAGTTACAGATGTAACACTAAAAAAAATCTTCCCAAGCTATGGATGTTGTCAGCAGGGTTTACTCTTTAGTGTGTAGCTCACCTCAGCTCAAGGCCAATGCGCTGCAAGTGGGTGGTAGTGGGTATAATCAATTCCATTAAGTCGCACACAACACAAAATCTGTTCTGGCAATTCCTCAGATTTGTTTCCCTGCTTCAGATACAGGATGAAGTTATTTTGAGCACAAAGACGCGTTAAAGAGATGGTTAGCTGAAAATTTACCTGAATAGTTAAGCCAACATCCAATATGCAAAGCTTCAGTCTGTCTAAAAATGTTTCAAATCCTTTTCTTGAAATGTAACTGAATCTGTGCATATCCAAATCTATCTCAAAGTAATTTTCACCCTGTCAAAATGTGCAGATAGTTTAGATAAAGAACATAAAGGTGTTTGCTCAATAATAAAAAAGGATGCAGTGTGCTCTTCTGACTTCTTCAATTCCACACGAAACTTTATCAGATGATCAAATATGTATGGAAAAAACAAATAATAAGCAAAAGGCTTGAATGTATGATGGTTTTTCTTTTTCTTTTTTAACTTGGAGCTTCCTCCTCATAAAACAAGACTTTTCCCTTTTCCCTTTTTTTCTGTTTTTGCATCCATACATGTGAGAGAAGAAACCAGTAACATAATCGCTGCAATAAGGACAAATAAAATCCCAGGCACCAATCTTAACTGAAAAATGTTTGATAAAAAACAGAAAACACATCAAATTGGACAATGCAAGTAATTTCCTTTCTAAGGCAGTGCTATCTGGAGTCCTCCCATAAGTATTACAAATGCAAAATTTTCTTATACTGATCCAAGAATAACATTAATCATTTTATCTCTACAAAAAATAACATTAATCACTCAATTGGTTGTGCAGATATAAGCTTACCGAATAAAATTCATGCTGAGGACGAGAAAGCAAAGGCTTTTCGTTGTACTTATGCATCAGTGTTTTCTCTGCTGCACTGGAGGGAAGATCCTCCAAATTAGCTACACGCCCAAGTATTTTCAACCTTTCTCGGAAAGGAACAATTGTATCCACAGGAAAGCTTTTAACCTTTTCCACATCATCGTTAATTAACCTCTATATGCAAAAAATGATCAACCGAATTATTAAACCACACAACATTGGAAAAAAATGCCAAACATAAATGTGATTCTACAATTCCTTTACTGAGAGCAGAAATGAAAAGCTTTGCTTCGAAAGAGGTACAGATGAGAAATAAGAGGTATACAGAACGAGAATAGGGTTAATTGTGAATAGACCCTTTATACTATCGCCTAGTTGCAAATAAACCCCCTGTAGTTTTATTTGTACGGACAATCCCCCCATAGTATTTGCCCAAAGGCGGATAGACCACCCCAGTGAACTTGTTCGGTTCATTTAAAAGTCAAAAAAGATTAGCAATTGCAAGTCTATCTTCACCAATAGAACTACAAGAGGTCTAACCACCTCCTCATAACTTTTTTAACTCTTTTTAAAGCTTTTTAAGACTCAGAAGAAATTAACTCAGGGGGCGTATCCACACAAACAAAACTACATCAGGTCTATCCGCAATTGGGCGACACTATAGGGGTCTATCTGCACTAAACCCAAATGAATATTATAATTCCATATAAGGAATTGATATACACTATTAAACATACTAAGCATGTAAATCAAATTAAAGAACCAATGCCCTTGGTTTAGGAATGAATGATTAACTCTTCCAGGTGCTACATCAGCAGGTAGCCAATTACACTAATCAGAGTAAGGACAACTCACACTTCAAGCAACAAAGTCAACATGCATGCATATGAAGTCAATCCACCTAACACACTATGTACCTGAGACAGCGAGATGTTATAAATTGTCTACAAGTTGCTCAGATCTGATATGTAGAAAGTAAATACAATGTAGTAGGAATATGATAATCTTACTTTTCATGTTTGCACACTGAAGAAGTTTTAATAAAAGAGGACATAAGAACCACTATGAATATAAGGGTTAAACAGCAAAGGAAGTAAATGCTATCACAAAGTTATGAGTAATTGAAGTTTTTCAAAACGATAAAGAGAAAAGAATCCATGCCTCACCAAAATTACAGTGAAACAAGTATATAATTCCTTTTATTCTCAATTTTGAAATCTGGAAGTAAAGTCTTCACTATCTGGCTGAACTTGCAAAATTTTCATAAATTTCTGGTTTTACAAGATATGCACGTTCCATTCAAACATTCGCATCCAGAAATACTTGCATCCATAAACTCTAGAAATGGAATTTTTTTCCCTCTGGAGATCCGTCAATTTCAATTAAATAATTTATCTGGAGATTGGATATGTTGGTCTTCCTAAATTGGCTGTGACGAGATTATTAAATTTATTGTTCTCCTGATTTATCACAAATTTGTCAATTGTACCACTGAAACTTGTTTATCAAGCATGAAACACTCTTTTACTTGAACCTAAATATCACTAGTAAACCTTACCCAACTATTTGATTTTTTGACAAGGCAGTGAAAGCACCAATAAGATAATCTTTGCTATCAGCATCATTTCCTCTGGTGATCACCATAATTTATTAAGTTTAACTAATTCACATTCCTAGACTGGTCAGTCCTTCATTTTTCTTCTAGTTGTGCTCACTTAATGGATAGAACTAATATGACCAATTTCGACTTACTGTGGTCAGGCACTATACCATCATCATAAAAATGAACAGTCTTGAAATGGTTAATTAAAGAGGTTATATTTAGTGCATTCACATGGTTGGTTTATATTTGCAGCACATGCCCAAAGTAATATATGAAACCAGGAAATGCATTCTTTGACAGGTTGCCCCCAGTACTGTACATACTTGGAAAGTGGGGATACATCATCCAACATAATGAACCTCACTGCTTGCCTACTAGCTTGTCTCCGAACCACACCAAAAAAAATTTACGCATTTGTAGTTGACCAAAAGTTATCTTCAAATATTAATTAGGATCATTTTGTTACTATAATACCTTTACTAGTAAATATCATCACAAACTGAAGCAAAAGTTTGAGCAGAATTTCTTCCCACACTTACTCTGATACTATCTATAAAATTTGATCGAAGCTCCTTTGAGTAACTCTCTGAGAGCCTAAAGTACAATACAAAGCTAAATCCTTCTCCATCCGTTGCATTCTGAAATATAGCTGCAGGATATAATGGAACCTGAACACAACAACAAAAAAATATTGTATCACATAATCATCCATATATAACAAGGTACAAATATAGATACTTAGAGCATCTCCAACAACTTCCTCATTTTATTGGTATTCTCACTTTTGAAGAATTTTAGGCTTTTTTTTGGTCCAACAGATTCTCCATCTCATTCCCCAAAATAGGGATGGAGGAGGAAAAAAGGGGAGTCTTCCCCAAATCTGGGGCATTCTTCAAATATTTGGAGAAAACTTTGTCATAAATGCAGCACGTTCTTCAAAACGGGATGGAGGAGAAAATAAATATAAAACAAAATCTGTAATTAAAAAAAAAGCCATGGGGGCAATTCCAATGCATAAGAGCATCCCAAAATAGGGATGTAGAATATTTTTATTATTGTAATAAATGCAAGATTCTTCAAAATGGGGAAGCTGTTGGAGTTGAAGCAAAAATAATTTGGAGAATATGACTTTTGCTTCCCCATTTTGAAATTTTTTTTGGGAAAACTGTTGGAGATGCTCTTACATCAGACTAATATAAAAGTTTCATGTAGGAATATTGCATATCATAACTTCATATTTTATGTTTTACTAATCACTTCTTTATTTGGTTCCTACCTGCAAGCTCTTGGCGATAGTTTCTATGTAGAAAATTATGATTGGCTTATATAGGCAACCAATGCAAGAGAAATAGATATTCTTATAAGGATCATCATATCGAGGTACGCATCAACAACATAATTGATTTATGTCCCATGCATCGAAGCATTCTAAGACAATCCTTCAATTTTCTGCACCATTGACTCTCTACACACTTCGTGTCTATACTTCTTTAGACCCCCTATACACTTAAACTAATCACAGAACATTCTTTACACGTGCCACATATGACTGATACAAATAGTAGACAAAAATAAGCAGGGCCATTGAACCTACGATACAGTTAGTAGAGAAAAATGAGCAGAACATTCTTTAGACCACCTATACACTCAAACTATACTGTTAATTTGCTTATAATGAGAAAAATGAGTGTAAACCTATGATGAAGAAGTAGATATATAAAAACAACATAAGCAGGGCCATTGAACAAACAAAAGACAGAAATTTTTTACCACATTTTCTCCAGTAGGTTAACCATCTGTATTATATACAAGATTGGTTTAGTACAGAAACTAATGAATCCTGTCAAAGGTTCGTAGCTACCTGTACATTAACCACAAGAAGCGGTGGGAGCTTGCTAGATGGATTTGCAGAGGGAAGTTCCACAAACCGAGCTATATGGTTAATTTTATGCTCTGACAAGTAAACATCAACACCAATTGGATAATATGCTGCATTATTTGAAGCGAACTCTTTCTTCTTGTCCCTAATAAATGCCAATAATGATACATTTAGTAGAAAAGTTATATGCATGCATTCTCTAGTTACAGAAGACAGTTCGGTGGTGTGGTTTGAAATAAAAATCAATAAAACCGGAACAAATGCAAACTATATTGTACCTAAAATAATTTTCACCTCGCACCCTGAATGTACCAGGATCAATTCGTGACCAGCAATCACTCATTTTCTTTTCCACTGGGCGGAATGGAATTTGGGAACCCGCTAATGGCCTCTCGAGGACTGAGTTTGAAGAAACTACAAACAGAAGAAAAGTAAGTCGATGTGTTTTATTTATCCAATTAACTATGCAACTGCATAAGACAATTTTCTCGAAAAACATTCTGGAGCACAAGTTCATGATACATCGATAATCCTCTGAAATACTGATAAATATTTTTTTTTTTCCTCATTTATGTTCTGAGTTTACAAAGATTGTTATGGTGTAAAATATGTCATTCTTCAAGGACTTCTGCTATTTGATCACATGAAAGATGGTTGTCCCTAAAGAAAAAACCAATCCCCAATACATTTTCAAAATATTTACTTATCAGTTACATGCAAAATTAAGCATTAAAACAATTGAAGTTCAATGGTTATAGTACCACGTTTAACTGGAGTGACAGGCTACTTCTATTCAGGAGCCATACCTACACTGGACACCTACCCATACCCAAACTTCTTGAATATATGCATACATTTATTCAGGCGTATACTCAATTATATTGTTCTTATGTAAATTATTAATTTTACTACATATAAATATGCATAACATACGTATACACATAAATAGCTGTCCCCATACCCTACCTTTTACAAATTTATCGTGTCTCGTACCCGTACCCGTACCAATACCCATACCCGCATCCATGCAACTTAGGGATACACAAATGAAAGAAAACAGTACATGCTCTTTATTTTATTTTATAGAAATACTTTCTTGCAAATGAATTATGATGTCCGGAAAAAAGAGAAAAGCATTATCATAGTAAAAATTTTGTATCCAAGGTCACCAAGGAATTTCCACTTGCTTTGGAACAGTGGAGGAACCAGAATAAGAGTAAAGAGGCAGAACTATGCAGGATATAAGGGCAGGTGCAGCTGCTTGGCAATATGACATAAATGAAATAAGAGAACCTTTGGAACTATGGCAAAAACCTCACTATTTAAGGTATTCCAACAGGTTTTTCTCTCCACATCACACTTTGTAGCCACCCAATAGAATCTTTGTTATACTTTGGGAGACTACCTATGCACTTGAAGTTTATGACTCATGTTTCTACTTTCTTTATCTGTACTTAGAATCTTTTTAGGTGAAAACACAGGATTTTCTTCATCTCATTGTCTGTTCAGGAGAGAAGCATTATAAAAGCGTATTGATGACAGAAAAGAGATGGGAAACACTCACATAGTGTGGGTGTAGTGTGTCCTTCCCTGGTCTTCCGCTTGAACGAAAGCTTCAAGATTGCCTTTTTAGCTGAGTTTGGTGGTGTAGAAGTAAAAGATTTTCTCTTTTCAACTGTAAGAGCAGTTGTAGCAATACAAGGCAAGCAATTATTTGGAAGAATATTGCCACAACTGTCAAGCACTCCCTCTCCCTCCTTATAGTTACATTTTTCTATAGCAAGACTAGATATATTCTCACGGGTCAAAAAATCTTTTGAATTGCTTAAAGAACCATTAGACTGATTATTCACAGGATTTTCTATCAATTGCTCCTCTGATTTCCAACCCTCCTGATGTGGGTCAATGCCTCCATTGTTAGCATCTTTGAAAGATGAAGCACATGACTTGAATTCACCATCAAAACCATGTAAAGAGGATATCTCTGCCAATATTACACAAAAAGAGAATGGAAGAACAAAGATTACCAAACCTGTCTTATCTTTTATGAAAGAATTTTTAAAAGAAATATTTGTACCTTCACGAACACTGTGGAGATCATCCGGGGAGTCTGACTGCTCCATTGAAAATGTCTCGAACCATGCTTCCTCAATGCTTCCTGACGCAGATATTTACAAAAAAGAAAATCAAAGCAGGATATTGAACCCACTCAAAAACGCTGATATAGCATTATTTATGACACGAATAATTCACAAAATTGAATGGAAGATTAAGATTTATGTAACCAGCCCAAAAACTTGGGATAAAGGCTTTTTTGTTGTTGTTGATGTTCTACTCTTACATTGTTGCTTTGTAGGACTAAACAAGGTCCAGTTATATCACAACAATACAACTTTATTATTATAATATATAATGCAGTATTTTGGAGGTTTGCACATATGAGTTTAGTGCGTCACGACCTCATGTCTGTCTCACACCACATCAAAAGAAGAAATTACTGCAGCTGAAGTTGATTAAAAGTTTTGCTTCACAAGTTATGACATTATTTTATAAGGGAAGCAATTATATTGTTAAAAATTAAATAATGAGAAAATAAAAAGGTTAATTTACTTCCACGTACATTACATGCTTCCAAACAAAAATCTATTCTTTTATCTCATCAACTCTAAGTGGGTAACCTGTTTTCCTCAATCTCTCATCTTTTTAAGCAATTGAACATGTCAACTCTAAGTTGTTTTCCTCAACCTCAAATCTTTCCTAACAATTGGACAATGATTACCCTTAATCATCGGATACACTCTGGATAAGATCAAAAATTTTGATTGCTGAGGTAAATTGTTTGATGTTTAGCTCTACGTTTAAGGCATTTGGGTGGGTTCCTCTTGAAAGGAGACGTCACCATGATCTTGATTCTCTTCTGAAACCCTTATCATTCACAGGGACAAATTTTGTTGAATTGAAACAATTATAACATCAGGCTTCAACCAGTGTAAAGAAAACCAAATGTAGAAAATTCAGCTCCAGCGGCAATATTTGCCCAAATAACGACTTCAATACAACCCTAGCTTCCAATTTGAACTCCTAACTACAAACTAAAACACACCTCATAAGAAATAATCAACTAAAACAGAGAAATTTCATGAGTTACCTTTTTGAAGAGCGGGGTTCTCAACGGCCAGCTGATCCCGGCCATCTCCAGCCTCATCGATCGTCTTCATCGTTCTCTTCTTAATCAAAACCCGCCGCCTCCGCCTTTTCTTGTCGCCGCCCGACGGTTTCTGGCGACGGCCGCCCACGCACTCCTCCGGCCTCGAAATGCACGATCCCATCCGGAAGGAAAATCGAAATAAATTATAGAAAATGGGAATGGAAATCGATTTGCTTTTGGTTTGGGTTTCTTTCTTGGCTTGGGGTGAGAGGAGCAAAATCGTGACGCAAGGAGCAGAGCAACAACTGCTGCTGACGCTGACGACCACTATAAGGAGGAAAGAGCGGGCCGTGGCCGTCTGCCACGTGGCGGGAGCGCGAATAGGCGCAAGAAATTTTGCTACGGGGATCTTGGAAGGCGGTGGTTTGGACTCGCTCGGGACACGGCGGCCTCCTTTGTTGTACGCTCGGTCATGGTTGGAATATTTTTATGAAGTCGAGCCAACAAGATCACGAAATGTATATCAGGGAAAGGGTTTTTTTTAAGGGTAAATTACACTAGGCCCCCATGAAACTTTCAGCGACATTAAACCCCTGTGAACTTTCAAAATAACACTAGAACCCAATAACTTTTCTGTTTTGCAGAAAACTCCAAATTTGGTTTTGTATTGTGCAATCGCTCCCGCAAATTAGAATCAGAAAACAACATAAAAAGCCATTTTGAAAGTACTGGGGGTTTTGTGTAATTTACCTAAAAGATATTAAGAGTTTTCTACAAAAGTTATTGGGAGTTTAGTGCCATTTTAAAAGTTCATAGAGGTCTGCTCAAAATGCTAAACGCTAATGAGGTCTAGTATAATTTATCCTTTTTAATATTAGTTCCCCCAAATCTTTCATATTTTGACTTCATTTCTCAAATCTTCATAATTTGAAATCAGTCCCCCAAAATCTTTTAAGTATTCTGAAATTAATTTCTCAAATCTTTATATTTTGAAATTAGTCCTCTAAATCTCTTAAGTGTTTTTAAATTAGTCCCTCAAATTTTTCAACCTGCGGTTAGGCTAATAATTATAGGGATTAATTTCAAAATATGAAAGATGTGGAAGACTAATGTTTCAAAATCCCATTCGGAAAAGAGTAAATACAACACGATTGCTAACTACGAGCTAAATGTTAATGAGAAAACACAGGGACTCTATGTTTCTCACTAACTCCTCTTTTTCCCCTCGCATCTTTTTTTCTCTATTCTTTTCAATTATGGCCCTGGTTAGCAGAATTCATAGAATATTCTACGAGGTGAATATTAAGTGTTCTCGGTTTCTTCAACGTTGTTTTTTGAGAAAATATATTTTTACAAAGTAAATGAGGTCGCACTCTTCATTGGTTGGCCCAAAAACTTGGGGGAAAAAAGACTAGAGAAATTTCTTTTCTTAGGAATGGTTTCCTATCTTGTAACGTTTATCGTGACTAGGTTGAAGAAAAATGAATGGGAATAAATTTCAATCATAAACTTATTGTGGAAAGAAGCCTTGTAACTTAATTGTTTCACATAAACCCTCTGAATGAAACTCTTTTTTGGCTCTTTTACTTTTAAGAGGTCTATTTGTCAAAAGTTAATTTTCTCTATATAAGAGCAAAAGGACGAAAAAGTTTCTCTTGGCGCGGTTTTGTCTGCAACAATGAAGTGTAGGGGTTTATCTGCAATTCAGCAATAATACATAAAGTTTATTCGTAATTGGTTCTCTAGTAAATTGAGAAGAGTTGATCTCAAAGATATAATTTGTTTGCTTTTTAATCTTTTGTTCCAATCCAGGAGCCTATTTTTTCCTCTTCCGTGGGTTATTATGTATTTTCGTTCCAAGTTCTTAATTTATGAAACTTCAAAATGAATATTGTTATATATGAAATGAGATATTTTCGAACTCTCTCTTATTTTTTCGTCACTAATATATGTTAGTTTGTGTAGACCAAACCTGCAGACGAGCTTGAGACGACAGCGACCTTCAA